ACGGCTCAGCACTGTAGGGGGTCGTCGTTTCCCGGTTTCTTCCTGGAGTGGTTTCTCAGCTTAGGGCAGTCGTTTCGGTAGTGGTTGGGTGAGCCACACTCGTAACACCTCCCTTTGCGTTGGGGACGCCTCTCAGGGGACTCTGCCCTGAAGTGACCAGTGCAGTGGCACTGGTAGCCCCTCCTCGGGTCGGTGGGCCCAGTTCGAGCTTCTGCTCCCCGATCTCTGTCTTGGCTACGGGTGACAGCCACTTCCCATACCATCTGCTTGAGCTCGTCTAACTCACGCCTCCATTCTGGTACTGCCGGGCGCGATGCCTCGGGTGAGTCAACAGTGGCAGATACCGCCTTACCTCCGGCACTTCTCGGCCTGGCGTCGCCCCTCAGCCATCCTACCGCCCACTCCCGGAGCTCAGTAAGATCCCCATGCTTTGCTCTGCGCGCACTCCGCAGTTTCCGTTGCACCCCTTGGTCAAAGACTCCCTCTGCAAACTGTTCAAGGAGGTGCGCATTGTCGACCTCGCCCTCTGACTTGTGCTGGAGGCTGCGCAGCGCCAAGGAGAACTCGAGCAGGGACTCCCCACTCTTTTGGGTCCACCCATAAAATTCCCCCAGGACCTTCCTGAGAGAGATAGACCTCCCAAAGGTTCTCTGTAGTACTGCGTAAATGCTGGCTGGTGTGCGCTTGGAAGGGTCCAGGGTGAGCTTGACCTCCTCCTTTGCCACCCCCTCCAGCCCGGCTGATAAGAAAGTTAGCCTGCTGAGACTCGGGCACATTCCACCCCTCCAGCACCGCCTGGGCATCCGCGATCCAAACAGAGAAACCCTCCGCGCCTGAGATGGTCCCCAGGCGTTGGTCTCGCTGTTCGACGACCACAGACGTCTTCAGGTTGCGTACCGCTTCAAAGCAGGTCTGCGCCTCATCCAGGTCCTGTCGCAGTTTTGCAGACTCACTGCGCTGCCGCTCCACCTCCTCATCCCGGCGCTCCAACTGCTGCTGCAAAGCTGCAAGCACGGCACGGTCTTTCTCCGCCTGGGCCAGGCGCTCCTGCACATCTTCCCCTGGCATAGCGTCGGCAACAACCCGGATCACACAGATCACTCACCCAATCACACTCAGTTATGCCGGGCAAAAAGTCACCAAACGGAGTCAACAAGGGCCCTCCTCACTTACAGTGGAGGGAGAAGTGGAGAGAGCTACTCATCCTACAAGCCAGCTTACAACACATGTACCCTTCAACAAGTTCGCAGACCGTGCCCCTTACCGCACGAGCACAACACAAGAAAACACAGTACAAATTACCACACCAGTGAATATGACACTGTGTGCAAATTACCGCATGTAAAGTCTCTCTGTACATTTAAACATTAACACATTCAGGAACGCTACTCAGGGACGCCTCTGCAGTCCTCGTCGCCGACGCTCTGTCCCCAGCTGACTTCCCCGGACTCATTCCGCTCTCGACTTCTCCACGTCACTTAGCTTCTCGGATGTCCACACCACTCCCTGCAATGGTGGTACCCTCAACGGTCGTATCTTGTCAGGATCAGCGCCTTCTGTCGACGTCAGACTCGGCGCCCACTTCAGCTCTGCCGGGGGTCGCTTTGGTCGTGTACTTAGGCCTCACAAGCGAGGCCTGCTACTATGTCACATGAACAACTCAGCCAACCGCCATCCCACTTCTGACACCAAATTTATGTGAGGCGTTGTTCGTGCACGCACACCCAAACACAAGACTCGGATGATGGTGACTCAAGAGTTTATTGAGTTGACAACGAGCCAAAAGATCACTAACGACCATGTAACCACATCACACAAACGACGTAGTTACGACTGTGCAGGCGACCCCCTGCAGAACACTACTCCGGTAGGGCCACGTTCGCCGCCCCGACACACACCGGCTCAGCATCACCTGCGTGTCATAAATCCACATCTGCACTCTCACGAGAATCGCTTGTCCAGATTCCCTCTGCGACAAAGATGGCACCCCTCCTTTCCCGCCTTAAATCCAAACAAAGGGTTTATCCTCAATCCCCCCCATAGCTTTCTTACAGTAACACCAGGCGGCAGCACTATCCGGAGTAAGTCATGTACAGAACAACACTACAGACTCTGATTAGGTGGGCGTACAAAAACACTCGCTCACAATCATAATATGATAATAATTGTGCTCTGATTCTACTTGATTCTACGCTAAAGAGTGGTGGAAGCACATAAGTGGCAGATAATGTAGAAGGGCGTATACACTACTGTACATGTACAGTGCATGCAATAGTATAGTCTACAGCAAAAAAAATGCGCACACACAAAATGTTTCTGAAAGAAAATACTTTATTACTATTATTCATGACAAAGATTCCTCCAGAAAAATACATATATGGATATACGTGCATCGTGACATTTACAGTGACACCCCAAACTATGTTCCGTTAGAGCATATAGATAGTTATACAAAGACATGCCTTTGTATATACATATGATCAAGAGTAGATAATATAACATTAGATGTTATATTATCTACTCTTGATATGATGAAAGCAATTGCCCGTGGAACGAATTCATAGCAACCAAGGCGGGCGGGGCTCCGCTTCCTTCACCCGCTCTCTGATATCCTATTATCATTATGGAGCTATAACTAAACACCCACACAATTTAAAGATGCTTCACGGGAAACTATGACAGGAAAAGGGAATGGCGGAGTTTGGGTATGGACTGGTGTGGTGGGAGGCAGCGGCGATTGCATTACTATGCACGTACGTATTTAAATATGACGTATGTACTGGTAAGCACGAATCAGCTAACCTCAAAAACTGCTGGTCATATTCACCCTTGGTATAATTCGATCCAATTACTTTAAATCAAAGCATGCTCAATTAAGTCACCTCAGTCAATGCTGTCAGGGATGTTCCTTGTCGTTTTGCTGTAGGAAAACGACCAGTAATTGACTTGTCTACGCAACAGGAAGCGCAGCATGCCAGATCCTAGGTGCCATCAGAGAAACTTCAAATTTATATACAAGAGGTTTCACCTTTTAAAGCAACATGATAGGAACCACTCACATTCTTTCTTACTTTGAATGCCTGCTATTCGCGTGTATATCTATATATTCCCTGTACATCCATATATAGTCATCGCATCCCTCTACATAATCTCTGCTGAGTCACTATTCCACTCACACGCAGATGACACATAAAGATAGAGAGCAGCACACGGGAGCACGATCAAATATATACATTACGAATAACGAATAAAAATAATGTTAGTTAACTAACAACGAATGAACCTCTATATATAAACGTATTATTTAACACGAGAAAATTTGCTAAAAGTTTGCATAGCGTCTAAGTGCCCGTCTTCAGCGCATAAATTATAATTCATCGCATCAAAAGCTCGTCGTTCACATTTAACGCCGACAAGCAGCGATCATTTTAACAATGTCAGTGACAACATGTTCAATAACATTTTCACAATGTCAGTGAAGACCTCGCACTAGCAGGAAGGCCTACGTACTATACGGGCGGGGGGCACACGCCTCGGAACTGGGTAGAGGGGGGGTCGGAGACCTTGAAAACCTGACCCTGTCGCAAACCGCTTTGCGCCCTAAAATATACCCTGTACTGAACTAAAAAGTATACCTGTTGCAATATTGGCTTGCCTATATTGGTCCAATATCGGCCTGGTGACATTGGCCCAATATTGGACCAATATCTGCCTATATTGGTCCAATATTGGCCTGGCGATATTGGCCCAATATTGTTTTGTCAATATTAGAACAATATTAGCTTGCCCTGCTGAGTATCTAGATAACCCTGTGCCAATAATGATGTTCGGAAAATATACCCTGCCCAACGTTACGTCCCCAGTACCTTTAACAATGGGAGTGCCCGCCGGACGCGTGATTTTTTCCCCCACTCAGATAGTGGCATTAATTTGCGATTTGCGATTTGGTGGTTTTCACAACTCACCGCGCGCAAAACCGCCAGCCAATCAGCGCCGCTTATGCAAATTAATGCCACTATCTGAGTGGGAATAAAAATCACGCCCCCGGACTATACGCCACTTCTCCCGTCGATATGTCACACTCACATCCGACCCAACGACACAAATACAGTGTACACGGAATTTACGCGAAATCGGGCAAGGGGCGGGCATGTTTAAACGTAGTTTTCTCTCTTGCTTTTTCGCTAGATACAATAATGTAACCCAAACACAGGATAGGGGTGCCCTATCCTGTGTTTGGGTTACATTATTGTATCAACTTTTTCGCGTGCTCTTTCAAATCGTAACACGCGACCCTTGCATCATGTATTACCCGCCAACGATTCTTTGGCAAAACGGTAACTTGCTCAAGTCTCATTCGAGTACACTAATGAAATAAAAACCGCTTATCGATTTCAAGAGAATCACGGTGCTCGCGAAGGCTCGAGGTCGAGGTCAATGTCAAGGTCAAGGTCAAAGTTAAAGTGAGAAATTATGGGAATCTGAACGACACTAAGTTACCGCTAATTGCATGCACAAATTTCATTTGCGACTACAAGGTAGCATATACACACACACGATGACGCAAACACGCGCACATGCATGCATGCACGCATGTACGCACGCACACCCACAACAGCCATCTACTAACGATAGAGATTGCGAAACATGGTACATACGTATGATAAACTGGCACAGTATTACATATTACTGGCGCGTTGGTTTCGTAGATCTTTCCGACAGTCATATCGCAGCGACTGTTTGGAATCACGCTGACGTTTCGCGATACATCATAAAGTAACGCTCATAGGGTCTATGTCCCCCAGGGTACTGCCGGAACGTACCCTGGTCACTATTTGATATGGTTAGGGTTAGGATTAGGGTTAGGGTTAGGGTTAGGGTTTGGGTTCGGGTTAGGGTTAGGGAGTAGGCGTAGGCGACTCCCTAGACTCGTTAGTGGAGTAGGCGAGGTACGGTTCGGCATATAATATAGTACCAAGGTACGTTCCGGTATACCGGACCGTACCCATGGTACGTTCCGGCAGTACCCCGGGGGACATAGACCCTCTCAGCTAAAGTAACAGCTAGCCTATATTTCGCGCGCGAGCACAGAGATTCGTAGCCTCGCGTTGCAGCTCGACGTCACATACGGTTCGTACACGAGCGTGAAATGCGCACGCGTGTATACATTCGTACATGTCCATGTACAACCTCCGCCGACAACAACAATTAAGCAACGGGCACAGTGACGAACATTTTCAATGTCAGTACACGTACACGCAACGTAACGCGCGACATCGCGTATCTTTTTATATATATATAGTTCTAACGCTTTTCATACGGGACGAAAACGTAGAAGATGATTTCTATTTAAAAACTACATAATACGCGCACAGGGAAACAGCGTCGTCTGCCGGTAACCATGGAAACAAACACAGGAGTCATGCTGCCTTCTAGCGGTCTTCATCGTGCAGGGGTTGGTATATTATCATGAACAGGAAACAAATATGAACTAATGCATACATACTATCACTATCATGAACATAATTATACATAGTAGCAGGAGTGATTAAAAGCAGATCTTTGGTTTTTTTCGCTCCCGATAGTAATATATACATATATAATATCGGTTCACGCATGTTCCAGCAACCAGCACATGCTATGTTCACAGTGGGTTCCGCTGACTGCCTGTGCAAAATTGTAAAATTGTACTTGCATTACATCAAGAGTAGATAATAGAGACTCTATTATCTACTCTTAATTTCATCCCACAGTTTACACCCTACCGCACGTAACAGGGTGCAAATAATTATACTATACCGAAATTCCACATTTCCAAAAAAGACGTGCACACGCACGTCTACGCATATCGTAATACGATGCCTAACTTCGCACCTTTGTGTGATACATGTATACAGATATGCTTGCATCACTTTCAGTAGTTCCAAGAAAGGGTAATACATGAGGCACTATTATTATAGTCGTATAGTACTTGTTGTCTAAAGACGCTAGTCTCGCAGCATGGCTGGGCGACATTTTGGGTAGATACGATGACGTAAGCCAGCGGGGTAGCTCGCTCAGTCAGGGTTTGCACGATCATATCTACAGCTTGAGATAGGTATGAGGTGCGTATAATGTATTTGCATCATACAACAGGCATTCGAGAGACAGCTAGAAGGGGGCGGGGGAGTAGGATGTGCACGAGTTCACTAACAGATTTGATTCGCGCCCCCACACTAGTATATAACTGTTCGGCAATACTGCACGCTGGTCATTCCCAGACTCTCCGTGCGTGCGCGAGTGCCCGACTACTCACAACGTGTGTAGATGGGGTCGACAACACACACACACTACGTATTCACAAGTTTTACAAGCAGCCTTGTAATTTACCATCGTAATATTTTACACCCCGCTCTTTGCAATGTAAAACTGACGTCGCGCCGCACTCAAACACCGACTGACCGTTAGATCACGCGCCAAGGCTCTCTGCGTGCGTACACACAGCAGCAAGATCCCACTCATTATCTGGTCAGAAACTCACATCGGCTGACGTATCACACGACTTCAAACACTCGAGGTAAAAAAGCCGTGAAAAAAATATAAACTATCGTATCACAGCAATCGTTTGATATATATTCGTCCAGGCCGGCACCGTTGCAAAGGCGACCATGATAAGAACAAATTTACAAACCTAACGACATAGTATCCCTACACCTTATCTCGGAGACAGTGACTGTGTCCACTCATTATATCACCGGAAGTGAAGTACCCTTCTAGCCTACAGCTGAGCAGAGTGAGACCCACGGCAATGCCGACGCTATTACAATTATCGAAATCAAATCACATTCCAAATCTTTACCCCATTTTGTCCTTTGCCCCACGTGTCCACAGCTACACGCACACCACCTATCCATTAGTCACTCACCTCACTGATATATCACCACAGATTTCGTGGAATAAATGCTATAGTATAGATCTATATTGCGTAGTGAAAACATCGCACAGATACAAAAGTATAAGGCGTAATGATCAGCGTAAACGTACTCCTAACACGCACCACGTGTAATGTATCGAGAATGACGAGAGCGAGTGATTCCGCACGCGAACCACATCTTAATCACGCACGCGTCGGACGCCGGGACGCCAATGTGAAATCTAATATCAGCAGATGTTACAGTGAAGTGCGCTTTGTCTTAGTCAGGACCGCACGGCAGAGTGCAGATCACACGGCATCTTTCTACACGTGTTGTTGTCTCACCCCCCAAAGTAACAATCTGCAAACTTTTGCCCTCGATGTTCGTAGGGATTATTACAGCGTGTCCCTCCTCTCTTCCGCTCCACTGAAATGCGCGAAGCTCGTACCAGCCACGTGAGATTCTAGCAAATGTCGTCGACGCAAAGCGATAAGGCGTGTGTACATGTCCGGCTCCAGCGTCGTGAGAAAAGACTCCGTAACAAAAATGGTTCATTGTTGTCATCAATACGGATGACCGCGCCGCTACATGTGCAGCGCCACCTGGTAGCGAGTGTTCTCGCGTCCGCCTCGGCTACGCCAGTTGCTTGGACGGTACTGGAGCAAAAGCAAGAGTAGGTTACGCGAGTCAGCGAGCTCTCGCGGTTTTCAATACAAGTTCTTGCATGGGTTATTGTTTCACGTTGAGTAAAACCGCATTAGCGCTATCGTAATTGTTATAACTACCTTGATGAGTAGTTGGCCCGACAGGCTAGTAGGATGAGAATAGGCATAGTAGATCCATCCTGCTAACACTACGACGAGGAGGAACACAGCAATGATGGCGGCTATGCCGGCGGGACCAATACCGATGCCTGCAGACTTGGCTGGAAAAATGCAAAATCATGCAGCCTGAGGTAACCTGTAGCCTCCATTCTTGCAGAAACTATCAGTGAACGTGACAACTCCACATTCCAACGTCTTTTACCTTAGCTCATTGGAAGTAAATCAATGAAGCTGTCACTCCCAACGCACCAGTTCTGCAATGCACTGGGAGTTACAGCTTCACGGATTCGGCACGCGCGGCATATGGTTTATGTCCATGTAAAATGTGTCTGTGCACGTCGCATTTCAGCTCAAAAGACAGCGCTTTCTAGCGTGGCACACAGAATACTCGCGAGTTTACTTACACATTATGGATGGACCGGATGAATGGTGTCCAGACTGGCCACCAGAATTGGACGTCTTTGTCGTGACAACCCCTCCTGGTTGCGTTGTTGCTTGTGGTGTTCCAGCTGCGAATAGTTTTCAGGGAATGTTAGACCAGAGTACGTAGCTGCCTCAGGAGATACTGTAAGCCAGAATACCTCAAATCTAAGCAGCAGAGCTCAGGCATCTTCCAAGTAAACATAATTGCTCACAAATTTGATTGATATATCTCATTAAAAAAATCTGAACAAAAATTTGATGGAATATTTCAATTTAAAACTGAAAACCCATGACAATTGGTGTGGCAATAAGTCACATAGAATTTTTTCTGAAACACGCAAACAAAACACCATTCAGCCTGAGCAGCATGAAGTGAATCCCACCTTCGGCAGCCGTTGGCGCTACAGATGACACCTCCTGCGTTACGTTGCCGAATTCGGCACACGCGTCCGGGTCTGTTATCGACTGCAAGCAGAAACGGGATGTGTGAAAGCTCGGAGCTCTCCGCGACTCACGGACACGTTTCAAAAGAACACGCTGAGAAGCTGCGGCAAACTAAGACAAGGTCTAATGTGCTTTCCAAGCTGAATCAAAAGCTGAAACGTTCCATAAATCCCAGACCCCTCCCCAAATTCCCAGCTGTTATAATTTTGACAATGCCAACACAGTCATGCTGTGTTTTCACAGCTTCATGTATTCATCTCAAAATCGATCGAGTTTATCTGTGTATAGGGGCCGCTAACGACATGGATAATTAACTCCAATTAGCAATGAATTAGGGCTGAGCCTCAGGGAGGACCTCAGAAGAACACTGCGAGGCAAAGCAAATCGTAGTCGGACGTTTCGGACTAAGCATCCGGGAATCAGGAGTAACACCCGAGATTGCCTGACCGAGGGAATAAGGTCCCCAACAGGGTGATATATATCAGGGTTCTCCAAGAGCACTTATAGCCTGGCGGCCCGCCAGGCTATCGTCGAGCCCCGCCATCCTAAAATGCACCCGCCACTCTAAATATAATAGCCGCCATGCTAAATATCATAGCCCCCGGACCACCCTAGCACGGAAACCGCCTTCGGCGATTTGCAACTAGGACCGTAAAGGCAGCACCCGCCATGCTATAATGAAAAAGCTTGGAGAACCCAGTATATATGGGCATATTGTATAGATAAATCAGCCTTTTATCCCGATTGTAGTTATCAGTTACTGCGACTAGTGTGTAACGCTACAGATGAAAAGGGACTCCAAATTTTTGTCATAGATTGTGCCGTGGCGAGTTACCGATTCTCCCCGAGGTTAAGCTTCCCCTGCCTCCATCCCTCAATGGATGACGTTTGAGATGCGGGGTTAGCCGAAGTGGGACTTACAGCTTCAAACATGAAGTCAGGTGATCCTAGCCAAAAAAAGCGGGGGCCATAGTGTCTTCAAACTTGGAGTCAGGTGACTATGAGGAGGCCCGGGTTGGGTCTGAGGGGGTTAGAGACGCGTGACGGGGTCGGAGGGGGTTAGAGACGCGTGACGGGGTCGGAGGGGGTTAGAGACGCGTGACGGGGTCGGAGGGGGTTAGAGACGCGTGACGGAGTCGGAGGGGTTAGAGACGCGTGACGGGGTCGGAGGGGGTTAGAGACGCGTGACGGAGTCGGAGGGGGTTAGAGACGCGTGACGGAGTCGGAGGGGGTTAGAGACGCGTGACGGAGTCGGAGGGGGTTAGAGACGCGTGACGGGGTCGGAGGGGGTTATGCTCACTGTTGTCTGACAGTCGGCCATGATCCACTCTTGGCGCCTGCGATCGACACCACTGGAGCATCGTTGTAGCTTGGGGCACCAGCGACAGTTGAAGACATCAGCATCACGATTTGCCTCCGACTCCAGGCATTCTTCGCAGCCTTCGCTGTACATGATGCACGCTAAAAGTATGCACAACCATATTTCAGGTTTTTTGGGAGGGCGAGGCAAGTACTGTCTTCAGTTTTCTGACAAATCTTTGGGCACCACTACAAGTTAAAGGGTCACCAAGGCAAATGAGTCCTTCAAAGAAGAGTTAATGAAACCACCAGGCACCCACTGTCAGAAACAAAATTAGTCTTAACATTAAGCTTAACATTAATATTTTCTCATTGACAGAAACGTGGTAAAGTTACGCGATTCACATATGTAGTGTAGAGATGCCCGGTTTACCAGAAAAGGTAAATCTCAAGATAAATATTAATACTAATTTTGTTTCCAACAACGGCCTTTAACAAGTTACTTACTCGGTTGGTGCTTGAGGTAGATGGATTTGCGGGTGGCCACGTAAGTAAAGTTTAATTTCACTGTGTGGTAATGATAGAAGGTCCTCTGTCTATAGTCTGAAAATGACAGCGAGTTATGATTTTATATGCGGCGTTTCATGGACGTCACGTACAAACTGAACACTGCATCACAAAAAAACGGTAATTTAAAGTCACCGTAGTAACACCACAAAGTGCTGTGATGCTGCATTGTGGAAAAGGAAGACCACGGTAACCGCGACTCCAATACTCCACTGTGAGACGATAGCTATGCTGTAACTGTGGTAACGCTAGGACGCGCTGCAGCAGACGAGACGTTCACGGTAACCAGGGTGATGCTAAGACACGCTGAGGCAGACGGAAATTCCATGCTAACCAGGGAGCCACAGCGTGTCGTAGCATTGCCGCAGTTACCGTGTAGGTTCCGTTCTCAAGGAGTAGCATTGGAGTAACCACGACGACGCTATGACGCGCTGCGGCGGACGGGAGATCTGTGGTAACCATGACGATCACACTCACGGTTGAAGTGCTCGCTGATGAACATGTAAGCATCGGAGACGCCCAGCTTAACGGGATGCAACACCGTGCTCAAGTTCGATATCGGTATGGGCACCTACGAGACAAGCAAAGAAACATTAAGCTCATTAGCAAGCCACGTACAGCGATGGATAACGACAGATGCCAGCGGCATGTAAACTCGGACACGGAAAGTATTCGTCTTCGAGAGAGCACCTCTGTATGACTGCCATCATGATTCATACACTACGAAAAATCAGACATCCCAGGAAAACTCTCGCTGTTGAATGCTACACGTTCTCGGTTAATATAGTTACTAAGCAGGGACTATTTTTCTTCTCTATATATAGATAGCGCAGTGCAATCAGATATACGTGGTCGATTATATCACTTACAACCGCATTGAAAATTAATTTCACAAAAATTATTTTAAACTATGGCACCAAACTATGAGCTAGTCGAATCTAGATAGGGTAAAGCAGCAAACGCACGCCCTGTAGAGATTGCACTCTAATCTACACACATCACACCTGCTCGTAGTTGAAAGTTATATCGCCATTCTCTAACAGTATCACTTGGAATGTGTAGTTGCCGACCGTCTGCTGGTCATGCAGGAGCACATTCTTCCACTCCACGATGAAGCTACCGTCCTCTGCAACGAAATGTTCACATCACACTCAGATGAGTAGTGTACATTATTGCAAATTAAAGAAATATATTACAAACCAAATTATTCAGTATGGGAGAGAGGGATGGATGGGCAAGGAAGGAAACAGAAACAGAGAGTGAGAGAGAGAATGGGAAGGATGGATTGAGAGAGGGCGGGAGGGATAGGGAGAAATGGAGGTAGAGAGGGACAGAGGCAAAGAGAGAGAGAGAGAGAGAGCGAGAGATAGAGAAAGAGAGAGAGAGAGAGAGAGCGAGAAAGCGAGAGAGAAAGAGAGAGAGAGAGAGAGAGGGAGAATAAAAAAGTGAGAAACAGCACTATATATATATATATATATATATAGATAGATATATATATATATACAGGGCTCGAATTAACCGACGGCACCGACGGCAATTGCCGTCGGTGCCCCTATCAATCGCCGTACTGCCCCTGAAAATCCAACCCGACCGACGGCAGTCACCTGCCTTGCCCTTTTGTGTAATTGCCGTCGGTGCCCTTTAATCTACTGCCCTAGTTTTGTTTTTAGTCGAATCAACATAACACGTGCGCGTGCGTGCTGTAGTTGCAATGATGAGCTAAAAACCGATAGTCGCAGGAGGGAATAATAACGGCATCGGATAATTATTTGCTCCTGATAGCGGGCATGTAAAATTTCTTGTTACTGCACTTCCATTAGCAGAGGTGGGTACAGGGGTCAGTATTACGGTGTAAGCTTACATGGGGGTATATTGTTTTGCACATTAAAATCAAGATGATGTTGATGTACTAATTTGTTATGAGTTTTCCTTTATTTTACAAAAGTGCCTTGGTGCCCTTCTCAAATTTTGAGAGTTTGCCTTGGTGCCTTTCTATTTTAGAGAAAATTCAAGGCGATTTCTCACATGCCCTAAAAAAATTGCCTTGCCCTTCTCGTCGCTTAATTCGAGCCCTGTATATATATATATATACAATAACAAAAATAGGAAAAAACCCAAGTATCATTCAAATATATAATAATAGTGTTCAGTAAATAGCTAAACATGGCACTTGTTCACAGTTACACACCGGTATCAAAATAGCGGATCACCGAGTCATTGTGGAGGCTGGGGTTAAAATTGCCCATCAACGGTGCAATATATTGAGTAGACGTCATCCACTGATGAATGAAGTTGCCAGTGTAGATAAAACCTGCAAAGACAACAGCATCACAGACATGAGTGTGCGACATGGCGAACCTTATTTATCTGTCTATTACCATTCATCTGATACTGTTCCCACGAATTACAGCCACATTCTAACCAGAATTACAAATTAGTTGAAAGAAGGTGGTGCCATCGTATCATGCTAGCTTCGTATACGCCAGCCCCTCCACTCACCTCCGGTGGCGATCGTGATGTTTCTTATCATGTGGCCATAGAAGGGAAAGTCAAATTTCAGCTCCACTGTCTGCAATAGAATGTCAAGTAGTCATGGTAACCTTCCCTACACGTGTTCACAGCACACTGACTGTCAGGTAAGCAAGGGAAATTTCTGGACGAGCCAGAATCACTCTCAGGTGAGTCTGGAGACATGAAACATTTTCTAAATATCCCTCCTGCAATAATATATTTCCTCTACAATTCTAAGACCTCCCTAGCAGCTCGAAAATCATATTTCCATGCTCCCTTGGATGGATCCTCATGTCTGAAATCCCACGCATCAAGACTTGAATGATTCAAAACTGGAATTCTATACTTCAGTGGAGGTGTTCGTGTGTTTGAATTCCACCTCACACGTCACGATCTTTGTCGGCAGTCCCAAAAAATTAGAATTGAGCAAAAGGATCTAGCATTGTCTGGCACGCGCATGTCATACGCACCGCAGCCAGCTTGTGGCTGGAGGACAGCACGTAGCTGATTTCTGTAGCATTCTCCGCATCTAGATCCACCCAGTTGTCCTCGAATCCATCCTCGTTAAGGTAGCTGACGACGTAGTAGTCATGGTCGACCTGTGAAAATACAAACACGCATGAACAGCCTCGCTCGCACAGTACGTTACCCGAAACACTTTCTCCAGCCATCTGTTAGAGCTCTAACAGCAAGGAGGGCAGATGGTCTCCAGTTCGATTCTTGTATGAAAATCTGATCGATATACTGATCGTTATTCGGGTCGTAACACGGAACACAATTCACAGTATTCTATCACAATGTTAAATTATTAAATATACGACGATCCTTCCTCTGTTCCTAATGCTACGATTCTCCGCGATCGCATCCAAAAATGGCGCTGCCACTGAAAATTTCCCTCAATTTCCCTGGCATGCATTCACTGAGAGTCGATCTCACTCACCTCTAGCACAGTGTTATTGGTGGAGTTGTTTATGGGCGCCTCTTGCGCAAGTCTGTTAAGCTCTTCATTGTCGGTGGCAGACGCACGATTGACTGGGCCGACTGCTGAGACTTGCCGCTTTGTGCGCCGCAGAACTGTATAACATTGAACATATCAGACACACTGCTGTTGAGAATGTTATATGAGTTTATCGCTGCAAATCCTGTTGTGCAAAAACACCCAGAAATTGGATATTTCTCTGGAAATATGGACCATCGACTGCCCGGTACATCAAGATGGTGCCTTATACCCATATTTTTATGCTTGCATATATAATCACTGTATACCAATATTCACACTATTACATTACACAGAACTAACGAACAGCACAGATCATTTTCAAATCACACTGCCCATATTATCTCAGAGTCTATGCGGAGACCACGGATGTATTCATTCGCTCACTCACCCTCGTTGGTTTCGTGCTCTGCTGCGAGCACCTGCACTGGTAACAGCCAGCTATCTGTGTGGGAACCATCACAGTGATATATTGGACCTGCAACAAATAAAGCAATCAATACACTATATACGAACAAATTATCATGCAGACAGTCTTGGCAATATCATGCAAACTCGCTCCTTTAGGTTGAAGAACGGAAGGTCACATGAAAAGATTACAAAAGTTACTATTACTAGGTTATGTGTACCAAATAAAACCCTACACATAAAAACCTCTAGGCAGAGTTTGATATCATGTAAATGCTATAACTATGACAAACCAATACTTGGTAATTAGATCTAGCATCAGAATTAAACATAGACATGTATTTCATAAAAACTAAGCTGTCATTCTATTTTAATCAGTTGATGTGTTAATTTATACACATGTGCAGTACTTAGATATATAATGCTGTGTGGAAATTAAAATTTTATGTACTAAATGAATAAATATGTCTTATTGTGTCAATATTTGTGTATTTACATCCTCATTTATACACGTAAACATGCCTAATGCTATATATATGACCCCGTATATATTACCTTAAATGTTCAAAGTACTTTTTCTACAACCAAACATATATATGTGCAATCACAAATCCCACTGTATGACTCACTAAATATATTAGTATACTCAGTACGCGAGAATAAGGTTACACTGCCAGGATATACATCCTGTTTCTGATTGGCCACATGTGCTACTTCTGCACACTGTATATGTAGATATGTAATTTACACCTAGCATATCTACACCGATTAGCTATGGGTAGTTCCTTAAAGATATATACAACCTAACCTGCACTAACTAACATTACCATTATTGATCACTCAGTAAACTACATTTACATTTATTAAAGCAGGAACTTATGAATTAGATTGAAATTTTTATGGATCGATATTCATCTGAGAACTGATTATATAATGGTTATGTGGTACTAGTATTATCTTTCTCCAGAATGTCCATTCACACTCAGGGTCAGAAAAAAACTTTTGCCAGAGAGCAAGTACTTGTCCCAGAGACAAAAGTGGGCAGCAAATTAACTCAGCCAGGAAGAATCTTTGGTGCTTTTACTATGGTTTATTAGGAATATCTTGGCTGCAAGTATTTATTGCTGAAGTTGAGAGCAGTTAGCAAACTGGCCCTTATAGGCAGCAAAATTCCTGCTTGTTGCCCGTAACTTCGAACCCTGCACACTGTGTATGTACCGAAAAAGTATAGCTCTGACGAAGGTGGTAGCTTAATCGGAGTTAGGCGAGTAATCTCACACAAAGATATCTCGACTAGAGTTAGCAATTAACGATGGGTGCATGCTAACTCACATCATTGTCATGATTTTTGAATTACATGTTTTCAAATTTCTGTCAGTCTGATCTACCATACACAGAAGCCTAGTCAACAGTGCAAAACAATCAGTTGTTCATCCATGTGTTCCTACTGTTATATCAGTATAGTTCTGCATCTCACCTTCTGTTTATTATTGCCTGGAACCAGTTTTATTTTGTTGATTTATTAACAAAACATTTTTGAGAGAAATGGTGCAATGCTTAAAAGGAGAAAATATGTAGAACACTACAAGCACTTCATCCGTTTCAATAATAAAAGCATGGCAAATAAACTCAAAATGTATTTACTGGCAGACTTAATGCACTATCTATCATCCAACAATTCAACTTAAATGCCATTTAAATGCTCCCTGCATGCCAACACAAAATCCCAATCCTTTCATGTCACTGTCCACAAAGTCACCCAAGGATGCCCTAAATTCACCCAAGGTTGCCCTAAATCCACCCAAGGGTGCCCTAAATCCACCCAAGGATGCCCTAAATCCACTCAAGGATGCCCTAAATCCACCCAAGGTTGCCCATAAATCGCACCAAAGGATGCCCTAACAGCCACAAAAGGATCCTGATACCTCAGGTAGACTCCCAGTGTCAGTGTAGGGTAATCACACAGTTTTATAGGCTGACATAGAAATTACCTAGAACATAAGCAACGTACGTACTGCTGTTTTATTTTCTAAAAAATCCTTATCAGCTCTATTAGACTATTTGGCTAACATATTAATTGTTCATGTAATGTCATTCTTGCACAAATCATTACGTACTAAAGCAGTATTGGGATTTGTCCTATTGCTTGGAAGCAGAGAATACTTGAATCCAAAATGCAATTAATGGACCGCACGACTCGTGCATAAACACACGTACAGTCGCTCCAGTTTAAACAGCTGCAGAGGTTTTTACCAGTACTTAGTTAACTAGATTTTCTCTGGACTAAATTAAAGCTGTACCCATAGTCCCATTAATTCGAACAATGACCATCGGGCGAAGCACAGATTAAGGAGGTTGGTTCCATGTACCATGTGCTCTGTCATGTGATTAAAAAGCAAGCAAGCGTTGTCTGAGTTGGACGCCAACGTGGTTTTCCACTCTGCTCGCATCGTTCTGTGATTCATACAAAGTGGCTAGCAACCAGCGAGACTGTTTGTCTATACTTATAATTAATATGAATTGAAATTGTGTTGATATATATCAATTTTTCACACACACATCATTCAATAATGATTATTATATATATATAGAGAAGCAGGATAGGTGAGAAATGTGGTGGCTTGTTCTTAGAGTATACGATGGCCGTGTGCGATGTTACTTCCATGCTACACATCCTTCTGCTTGGTTAGCCTATAGAGTATATGGTGAAATGTAAGATATGGGATACAACGACACACCGCAAATATGACGTAATGAACCAGCATGCCAACATCTGTCACTGATTCGCAACAGACTTTACACATATCATACGGTAATTACCTTAAGATTTGATGATACTTGTACATACTAGTACTGATAGAAAACAAATACGTGATAGGCAGCACTTGCACGCAAAAGCGTTGCTGTCGGCTGCCATGTGTTGTCTAATGTCACCGTGTATTACAAATTTTGTGACGTTGCGATCTCATCGAATGGAGGATGGACGCAGAGAGCAGTTTATGATTTCGGATTTAAATAGTTCCTTGCTGTTTCGGCGAATGGCTATGGCTGCATGTATGCAATACGCCGCTGTATTATAGTTGAGCTGTTTATTATATACGAGTGAGCTGTTATATAAATTTACACATTATCAATGTTATAACTACAGCCATCGGGCGCGTGACTGCGCGAGACACGATAAGACAATATATACGTTGCCTAACTCTTATGCATTCTGCTGAGACTCGGCGCTCTCACTCGAGTGTGCTAATTCTCACGCATTACAGAACACAAACAGTAAAAAATCAAGTATAAAATACTCTAAAGCATTTCAATTCGCCGAACGAAATTGAATTGACGATATAATATAAATAGAGTTATGAACTAGATCTGACTTTGACCACTGTCAACCCAACCACAATTATAAGCAGAAATAAAGGGTCCGAAGAGTAGAGTTGCATATAAATACAACTCCAAAGCAGGTATAATAAGTGATGTGTTGTTTGAGCCATCCATATTATATAACATGTAGCCTAAATCCATTAAAAGTAGAACTACATTAAACAATGCACCAGAATGCACAATTTAAGCTGAAAATGCACAAGCTCCCTGGTGTACGTGGGAGGGTGCCCGCCTCCCACGCCCGTCCTCCCGCTCGGTCGCTCCGCTCTCTCAAGATTTTTACTAATATATTCATTTAATAATAGTTAGAACTGACATGGTATTTTAAAGAGAATAATTCATTTCAATATTATTTAATCAGATAGAATAACATATAATAACTAACAGACCACTGAAAATAGGAAACAATATCAGAGTTGACGAAACTGACAAATTTATTTGTTGTGTGTATATTAGTGTGCGCTGTGTGTGTGCGTGTGTGCCTGCGTACGTGCGTGCGTGCGTGCGTGCCCGTCGTGCGTCCGTGGTGTGGCGTACGTGGGCGGGCCTTGCGTGAAAAAATAAAAATGCGGTGGCAAGATCCGAGATAGCCGTGGCGCGTGGGTAGTCATGGTGTGATGGGTGCAGTGGTTAGGAGTTAATAGGTGATAGATAAAGGGAAAGAGGTGAGGATGTCGTGATGTTTAAGAGCCACGTTAACTGTTTTAGCTCATGCGGCAATAATCTGCACCAGAGGAGTTGTAAATTTTTGATTAAAATGCATTTAGTATTGGCCAAGAAGGTATCTCAGCAGAGGTTTCTGTAATAAATTCTTATTCGTATAGACTGTGTTTATGTGTTTATATTAGGAGAGCGCCCTAGCCACTAAGGCGCAAAACTACTGACTTCATCACCGGCCCGCCCTTACCCCTATGTCACCTTGTCTTCAGGCTCAGGCTTCTTAAAAAAAAGGCTGTCTTCTCTGGCCACGTTCTCCTCAGTCGCCCACCCCTCTCTTAAACACCGAATACAACAGACATAAGATATTACAAAACACAAATCCAAAAATATATAAAATTAAGGCGTACGCGGCACGTTAAGAGAAGGGAGCTGCGCTTTCTAGAACAAATACTTTTACATAATCTACATGATTATAACAATAAAGCACAGAGAGAATATAAAATAGATTTCTATGATATATATCTCAGTAGACATGACTTATGAAATTAGGAGGGTATCTATTAGATGATAAGGCTAAGGGGCTTACGTCTACAAAATATGGCTACAATTACTGTTTTAGGCCGCATGCGAAATATCTCATGACAAGAACAGTTATATTTTGTGCTGAAAATGCGTTTAATATGGTCAGGAGATATCTCAGCATAGGTTTCTGTAATTAATTATTATGCAGTAACTCTGTGTGTATAAATGAGGAAAGCGCCCTAGCCAGTAGGGCGCGAAAACTACTACTTATCCCCCCCTGCCCTTCCCCTTTGCCTTCTTTATTGCGCACGCTCAGGCCTGCTTTCTCTCCCATCGCCACTCAGCTGTCTCTGCCACCTTTGCTTTAGTCGCCACCCTCCTCGCGCAGCAAGGCTATATACGGTACATTTAATTTAGGCGTACTGCACGTCTCGAAAGACGGTGCTCGCGGCATGCGCAATATCTCCCATAGAAGATAAAATACTTTGCTAAAATTATTTAATATAT